TATATATATAATATATATATATAATATATATATATATATTTTATATTTATACCTATATATATATATATATATATATATATACTATATATAATAATATTTTTCTATTTTCTGCATACTTTATAATTGAACTACCTTGTCCACATCATCAGGTTTCACAACTGTGACGATTTTCATGAAAATACCAATCAGCATATGGATGTTAGTAATCACTGTGTTCTTCAACTTAGCGGGCGAATGCAGAATGATTCCAAGATCATTGAGGTAATTGAGGACGTGGATGACGTTGTCTTTGTTAATACCACATTCCACAGCAATCTTAGTGATCTAAAAAGTTAATAAGCAACATTTAAATTGATGCACTATAACACCATAACTAATTTATTAAACAGATTCCAGATTTGATTATTAAATTGCATTGACAGAAATGTCCACAGAAATGTAATAGCAGCTTTGCTCGCTCAGTCGCTAAACTGGCGGCAGCCACTGTGTGTGCGCTGAACCGTGAAGATATTTTCGACTCCGGTTCCATTTCCACCGCTGCTCTCATTTCCTTTCACCGTCTTGCGGATGAGACCTTTGAGCTGTTGGTACGGTCCCGTGTATAAAATGGCCCATGATCATGTTAAAGAATGCAATACACTCATCAGAAAAAAATAGATCGATTGTTACCCGATGTACGGTACAGTCCAATTCACCACCAGGAAAAAAGTCTCGAGACTTTTGTGGGTTATCCAATCCATGCCAATATGTGTATTCAATCAATGTAAAAGTAGAGTGTAATACAAAACGTAATCTGAAATACAGTAGAGCCGCCCCCTCCTTTGGGACACCCCTATTTATGTGAGATTCCTATTAAGGACAAACCCCTATTAAGGAGACAGGGAGACTTCCTGAGTGTTCCAACTATTTAAATAGCCCCTATTAAGTAGACACTAATTCCACAACAACTACAGCAGTCTCAAAATAAGATAAAATCCTTTAATATTTCGACACTTTTGAACAATAAACAAGAATTTTCTAAGCAGAATCATTAGAGTGAACATGGTGATTTCATTTTCTTTGTTTTTTTTTTGTGTACTTTCATATAGGATTAAATCAAGATAGCCGTTAACACTGTTAAATTATATATAAATCATCAAGCCTTTACCTTTCTTTGATGATTTATATATATATATATATATATATATATATATATATATCTTTGATGATTATTTTTATATTTATTTATATTTTATAATCTTTGATTATTGTTATAAATTAGTTTTAATTCTATTGTAACTAATTCTTATGTCAATTATGTCAATAAAAATAAAAATATAAAGCATGCATGTCATTATTGTATGAAATGCCAAAACCCCTATTAAAGGGACCATTATCACGTTTTGATTAGTGTCCACTGAATAGGGGTACCCTATTCAAGACACACCAATATAGTTACTTTTTTAGTATCAAAGGTGTCTTCCTAATAGGGGTTCTACTGTATTTTAATTCAAAAAAGTTGTTAAATTGCATTAGCTACCTTATCTAAGGACATGCGAAGAGTTGTTTTCCCAGCTTCTTGTACCTCAATTTGGAAGTCCATCCAATTTATTGGAACAGTTCTTGCCATTGACTTCATGAAACCGCCTACTTTTATTTTCAGTCTTTGAATCCCTTTATCCAGTGCTGTGGTGTTGTCTACAGCATACATCTCGCGATCTACGTGACGTTCGTATGGCGTCCCTTTGAGTTCTTCTAAAATTTTGCCTAATACGACATCAATCTTTGAATAAAATTGAATAGTATATGTAATGAAAATATTTATAGATTTTAAAACAAATAATATCATCCCATTAAACACTCACGGATTAACAATATCTCACCTTTGCCTGCTTCTCAGCATCACTCCCCGTGAGTAGGTCCTTGTGCGTCCCAATCAGACTAATTGTCGGTGATGCTATAATTCCATTGATCAAAGGTTTCTCCTCTGAGCCATGTAGCAGTACAGCATACTCATATATCAGCCTTATCCAAAATATGATCATTTGCAGATTTGTCATCTCAAAATGTCCCTGCATATAAACAATATTGTCAGCATAATTAAAAATAGGGCTATGGATAAATTGATATACAATTAATTACAGTCTGAAATTAATTATTTCAGGAATGGGTTTCTTCCACTCAATGCATTTGATAATTTGTTTTACATTTTTATTATTATTAATTAAACTAATTAAAGTTAAACAATTGAGTTCCTTAAATTTAATAGAATATTTAAATGGTTTACTTTTTCGGGATCTCTTCTTTTTGCCAGTTTATCCAAAGCATCTACCAAACTGAAAACAACTCCATAAGAATTTCCATCTGTAATAAAAATCTGGAAAGAAATAGGACATACAAACTGTGATAAAGTATTGTATTTATAACAAAGAGAGGTAAACAGTGGCGTATCTAGGAATCTTGAAGTGGGGGAGCTGATTGGAAGCCCGAAAGTGAAGCGGGAAGGGGTGGGGGACTCGATGATCAGTTGAGGGTGCTAACTCTCAAAATAAGGTGATTTTAGGTGTTTTTTAACAACGCACCACTTGATTGCGTATCTAACACCTCCTAGATACGCCATTGCTGCAATAATTTCAGCAAAATAATATTTTTGTATTCAATCCAATGCCTCTTCCTTGTGGTTATAAAGCGCAGTTCTTTCCCTGGTCATTGGGTCCACATGCTAAGTGTTGCTGCTGGTAATCAGCACAGGAGCAGGCAACCCCACCAGGTACCCATTTATACTCCTGGGTGGAGAGAAGCAATGCAGATAAAGTGCCTTGCTCAAGGACACAAGCG